GTCGCCCAAGTGGAAAGCGATGGGCCTTCGAATCGTTCCATCCATTTTCAGCCCATTTCCAGTATGCTGCCGCTGGTGAATTATCTTTGGTGTCGATAAAGTTTTTATAGACTTTGCAATACTGCCAGGCATTCTCCATGTTCTTAGCTACATACATAGTCCCATCTTTGCTGTTTGGATACAATTCAATAGGGCCCAACAGAAATGGGCTAAATTCTAAACACCATTTTTCAGCTGTTGTCGATGTAACATTGTAGACAAGCCAGTTTTCACTTTTCAGACATTCGGGTTTCGGACGACGCATCGCAAATATTCGAACTTGATTTGTTAATAACGACGCAGAATGACGATTCTGCTCTGCATGAACTGAATCCCCAAGATTAATTTGTTTTGCCACTTTTGATTTGTTATCAGAAAATGGATTTTTACGTTTACCACACGCTGTCGCTGTTGCTGAGGTCATTTTCTTTATGACTATAAGATCTATATGTTAGTGAAATAATATACTTACTGACTGTAATTGCATCACGTTGGCGCAAACACAATGAGTTAGAAAGGAAAAATGTATATACACAGGAGGAAAGAGAAAAAAGAGAGATAAGCATGTGCATTGCACAGTGAGACGTTGCAGGTAATGGTAGCCGTAACATTTTTGGCTTTTTCACTTCCGTTTAATACACAAGCAGTCCATATGACGTAATATCTTAAAGTCGATTCGGAATTTTCTGCAAGAATGAACAAATTTATACGGTGTTCAGTTTCTGAGCAAAAGGAATCCGCTTCCAAACAAGTAAGACACATATCTTAATAGTCATAATATCTTAAAGTCAATTCTCTACAAACTGAGCTGGTTAGAATATCTGGACTGGCCGGCCTGGAACAGTGTGCATTTTTTGCATAGCAGACGGATATGTGTCTTACTTGTTTGGAAGCGGATTCCTTTTGCTCAGAAACTGAACACCGTATAAATTTGTAACGCCTTGTACTTTCATTTTCATTGATAGATAAAATTAGAGACGGTAGTTAGATAAAAAAAGCGTTTGATTCTATAAGAGTGGCATTATTATATTAAAATCTTGTCCTCTATCGCTAGTGAATCGTCGTTTACTATTGGCGGCTATTTTGTGAGAAGAAATAGATCGTCATTCTCGCCAAAAACATTGAGATACACAATGGTATTACGTGATCGTTATGAATTATCTAATTTTTCAGATAAAATGAAGTACATCTTTAGAGCAAAGGTACATAATGATTCGAGTTACTACCAACAGTATCATATTTCTTCCTAATCTCTATTTTATTTTGTCAACATTTATATAAATATCGCAGTATACTTACAATGTTTCGAATGCCCTTAGGACCTTTTAACTTTTTCTCATAGACGTGCTGAGGTAGTAGTACAGATTATCTTGTGATTTGACCAGGGGACTTATTTTCCATAAACGGGTGGGTCATAAGAACAGAACATTTGGTGTTTGTAGCATAGCGTCTTCTCCTTTTGTGATGAAAACTTGAATTTCTTATTCACTTCATAGTAGAATTACTAAGTATATAACGCAATGATTAGCTTCTTGACATTGTACATGTAGAAAGAAGCTAAAATGTGGCCGTTTCTGATAGAAAAACTAGGAGCCCTCTCTTTCTCCCATATCTGTTTCTCCCATATCTGTTTCTCCCATATGTTTTAACGGATAATAGTTCATCTTTTCTGTTTTCGAAGTCTTGCTCTATACCATTACACAGACTAGAACTGTAAAAGTTTCCGTTGCGTTAAACCTATCAGTTAGTTAACTTTGTGGTAACTATTTTTTAAGTATGGCAGAAATATTCACGCAGAGGCTTAAAATGGCTTCCAAAATCGCTAGTTTTCCACTAAAACTGTTGAACCTTTCATAAATGACATGATTTTGTAGTCTAATTTCGTTGATGAGAACAAAAAGATTTCTTAAGTGGACTGTAGATGCTGAGGCCTTCAAAGACCTTAAAAACTACGGTTACAAAACGCCGAAGTTATATAATTTCGATTAGTTTAGTTGACTGGCACGTGTGTGCCAATCAAAACCATGTCATTTATGAAAGTTTCAACAGTTTTAGTAGAAAACTAACGATTTTGGAAGCCATTTTAAGCCGCTGAGTGGATATTTCTGCCATACTTAAAAAATAGTTACCACTAAGTTAACTAACTGATAGTTACCGTTATTTCAACGGTAACTAAAAAGACAGTTATCGTTGTTTTAACGCTAAGTAATAAGTTAGTTACCGTTATTTTAACGGTAACTGTATTTTCAGTTAGCGTTGTCGACAACGGCCAAAGAAGTAACGGGAACTTTAACTGTCCGTACCACAGACAGTTACCTGATTTTACCAGATATTCTATTGATCACAACCGTTTCTAACGACAACATATAGAGAACTACATTTCGAGCTAACTTTCCAGAGAAACGCAAGAGAAAAAGCTAATCTTTCTGAAATTATCTCCGTCAAATCAATTGTTAATTTAATATTTTAGATATTTTTTGTCACCGACATTTCCGCGAACAGTACCCTGATTCTTTCGCAAGTTTTTGAAAATAGATGTTCAGAAAACTTAATTTTTGAAAACCAACATAATAACTGGTTCTATACGTAAATAATCTTCACGATTTAATACGACGACCGCATTTTCTTTATCGGTCTTTGAGATGACCACAGATTTGTCATTAATCAGTGTTTTTACCGCTTCAATCTCAGCATTGGATACATTAGCCATATATTTGTTTTTAATCTCTTTTCACTGTGTTATCAAACTCATTTAAAATTCCTGTAATATTTGCTGAGTTCATATTATTAATTACTGAACATTTTTTCATAAAATAGTACAAATACTCGATATCTGTTTCAACATTCAATAAATTTAATTCTTTAATATTAATTTTTTTTTTGGATTATGCGAGGGTTTATTGACGACGCTCTGGAGCGCTTGCAAAAATAAGAGAATACACGAAGAATAATTACAAAAAAAGGGATAAGACCGAGCAACATATAACGACGAACCGTTTATATTACGGATGAAAGTCTGAGTATACAGAACACGGGAAAAAGAGCAACAACAAAAATTAAAAATAAAACCAGTAAATAATAAAAAAAAAATTTCTGTTTTAACAAACAAATTCTAACCATTTAACGAGGGAAGATTCGCGCTTAGGTATTTTTTAACCCTTTTCATACAGAAGAAGTGACCACTCTTACAGGATCTCTCAAGAAAGTTTTCCCAAAAAAATAGATTGTTTAAAAAGAAGGATGAACCCAAATCCGTTTCATATAACTTTGACAACCTTTTAGAAATATACTTTTTTATATAATGAACCAGGGTAGGTTCTTTTATGACCTTAAAGATATCCTCAGCCTTTATAAAATGACATCTGTAGATAATACGAAGAT